GATGGGGTAGAATGCTCTGTATTCTTCTTTTCATCTTACAACAAGTTACTAAATTCTGTTGATCTTAAACCTCGGACCTTTTTCTCATCCCTGCCTCTCCTCCTCACCTCTTCTCTTACCAGCCCTCACTTTCTCTGGGTTTCGGAACCTCCCGATGAATCAGTCGGCTCTTAGTCTGTCTCTTGTCTCATCTCTGACCTCTCTTGCCTCCAGAGGGAACTTGTTTCATTCATTGTCAAAGTTATGCTCTGTCACCCATTAACGTTTCTGAAATTTGAAGTCGGCTTAGTGGTATGTCAGAGTGCTGTCAGCAGCCAGTGTGGCTTACTTAAATGGTTTGTCTTCACATTGCTGCCTTTTTAGATTCCACAAGCAAGGCACCTTTCTAGAGTCTATCAAGAACGTTTTAGCTCCTTCCCATTTCTTAAGTTGTAAGTCTGCTATAGAAGAGACTACTTGGGGCCCTGGAGCATGCTCACACCCCTGCGCTGTGTGCCCACCCTGCACTTCCTGGGAGATGCAGCTCAGGGGTCTCTCTCACATCCTGGCTTCTTCACCCCAGCCATAGGGCAGAACTGGGTCCTCTTCCTTTTTCTCATACCTGTCATCGTTCTGCTTGATTCCCAGATGCCTTTGTTAGGGCTGGGACTGGCTCTTAAGTCGCCTCATCTGATGTCTAACAAGCACTGTGTGTTCTGGAAATGTTTGAATGGAGTTGACTGGAACCTGGAAATCTTAACTTCTGGAGGCAGCTTGGAATAGGCTTGTGCAATCAGGTATTTTGTATCTGTTTCCAGCAGGTGCCCGTCTTTCCAGAGCTCACACTGACTAGGTCTTTTGTGGAGCCTGCTGCCGCCAGGCTTCTCAGTGAAGCAGGCTGTGTTTTATTGGAGACTGTCACACTGCTAATTTCCAGGAGTGATGAGCTATAAGACACCTGCTTGATTTTGTTCTTGGTGCTTGTCTTGGGTTTATTTAGTACTTCTTGTCTCCCTGTGAACTATGGCATAGAATGATTTGAAATCCTTAATTTATTTTGTGGTCACCTGGCTATCAAATTTGGGAAGAAGGGAGCAAAACCATCCTGGAGATGGGCCTTCCTCTCTTTAAAGTACATGTTGTCAGCCCTCTGTGAACTGGGGGACAGTTTTGTCGATGGAAGAACTTGCTCTGAGGGCTCATGTCCCACTCACCTACTTGAGGCAGTTACTTAGCTTTCTCAGCCTTGGTTTCCCCACCTGTAACGAGAGTCCAGGAAGACAAGACCGCTAACATCATGAGCTTTTAAAATCCAGGCACTCCGGCAGTCCCTGAGTTACAAACTTCAACTTACATACAACTCAAACTTATGAACAGAGGCTACTACAGATGATAGGTAAATGTACTTATTCCAACTTACATACAGATTCAACTTAAAAACAAATCTGTAGAACCTATCTTGTTCATAACCTGGAGACTAGCCAGAGTGCCTGAAACCCAGTGGTTCCTTAAAGGTTAATTTACCTCAAATGCTTATCTCCAAATATACAGTTTTCTCCCTGTGAAGAAAGGTACATTTGTAACTCTTATTAATCTTGCATAGCTGTCAGATTATACCAGACAAGGGAATTATAAAAGTTATGTGAATTTTGTTTCTGTCAGCTAAAACAACTAAGTTTCATGTAGGGGTTTTAGGGCTTGTTACATATGTCTGTTCTAGTTATACATCCTGAAACTGGGGAAATAACCACAGGGTGGGTTGGGGACCTACTGGGCCTACTGAGATGGGCCTGAGCTGAAACTCCGTTGATCACCTGACCTTCACCAGCCCTTCCCCTTGATTGGCCTGGTGGACCACAGTGGCATTTTGGAACTAGTGTTCAGTAATCCCCCAGAGTTAGACCATTTTTCCTTCCCCAATGCACAGTCCTTCTGGGGAGGCTGGAACTCTGTAAGAAATCTAACCCCTCTCCCCATCAAAACATTTGCAAAATGTGCCAGCATTTTTTAAAGTTAAGTAGAAAAGTCAAGCCATCCGTGTATTGCTAACCAGAACATCTGGTATAATTTAATAAAAGCTAAAGTAAAAATATAAAAGTGTTGGTGGGTCAGATGAAGGAAGTTACCCGGGAAATCAGGCATTTGTAAAGTTCAGGGTGTTCCAAAGGTCACCATTCATAGGTAAAATTAACACTCTTCATATTTATTTTATATTATATTTACATATCAACACGTAGAGAAATATTTTGTAAATATAATTTCCCACTTTCCATATGTATATTGACCTTTGGACCACCCTGTAGGTTGACATTCTAGCTGGCCTTAAGGTGTACATTTTGTTAAACCTACAGGGATGGGAATGTCATCTTTTTGGGTAATGAGATCACCCCTAATAAGAGTGGCCTGGTCTAGCTAGAACATGGGATTTTAGCTCTTACGGCCTAAGAAATATGTCTGAAATGGAATAATTCGTTTTCATTTTCTGATCTCAATTTCCTCTTTTGCCTGATATGTGAGAACTTTATTCTGTGGCCTTTAGCACTGGGATTACTGAAATCCCCAAGTTCTAAGGTTGGTTGGGATTTCATGAGATGGAAGATGGTAGTGTTGGTCAATGGGTTATTTTCCCAAATGTCTTCTCTGCAAAATGTAGCTGGTACCTGTGACTTAATTCACAGCGGTCCTGTGGCGTTGATGCCATTCTCGCATTTATAGATGAGAAGACATTTATCTATCAACACATTGGTCTTTGCTCTAACTTTTCCCTGGCGCCTGCCTGAAGTGAAGGATGGGAATTCTAATGGGTCTCTTCTGTTTCCTCATGAGTAGCTGGTGAAAACACATGCTCCTGGAGTAAGCCCAGGGGCTTTGTCTGTGCAAAGAAGTACTTTGGTCTCTGAGACAAGTCGCTGCATCCCCATTTTCCATTCTGTCATGCTTGCTGATGCTGTGTCTGATGCTGAGGAGACTTCTTCCTGTTCAGGGTTTTCCTCTCAACAAATGGCCCTTCCCTTAGCACATCCTGAGCTTAGCTCCCTCCTCAGAGCAAGTTACTCCCTCCAGGGGTCCCATCTCCTCTACCCACTCATTATTACTTTAGGACTTTTTAAAATCTTTTTCCTTTTCCCGGATTTTCATAACCTAGACTTACAGTCTGTTTTGCAGACTTTTCATTTTACTTTGAGTTGTCATAGTTACTAACTTTGTATATAAAATAATCATTATTCTCCACCCTTTGTTCACCCACCAGAAAGTTCACTGTTTTCGGCTGTGACCTTTGTGGAAGGAATTTGATGACTTTTTTAATCTCTTCCCTTCTGGCTGTACCATTAGTAAACATTTCTTGCTCTTCTTTTTATGGCTCTTTACTCCAGAGTCTAGATTGATTCAGACTTCAGATTGCTGCTTCATTTTGCAGTGTTTTTAGAGAACCTCAGTCCACCAGCCAGTGACCCAAAAAGAGGATTATGAGAGGGGAAACAACTGATTAAAAAAAGAACAAAACCATCTGCCCTAAACTGGTTCTACCTGTATTACTTTGATTGTGAGTAATATAAACAAATTATATAATTACAGGGGAAGTGAGGTCTGTCAGATTGTGGTCAAAAACCCAAAGCTTCTGTCTTATACATCAAATCATCTTGGATTAACCTAGAACTCCCAAGCCACTGGTTTTGGTAGACTGTGTGCCTGCGTGGTCTCAGGGCTGTTTGGGTTAGCAGCAGGGTACCATCCAGATCCACAGGTTCTCATTATCAGGAAGCAGAGTAGACGACTAGTAAAGGAGGCCTCTGCAGAGGCTGTCGGAGGAGGTGCCGTCTTTTTGGGGGGTAGAATGGTTGCACTATACTGGGGCCAGAGGACCTGTTTTCAGGTCCTAGCTTAGTTACAAATGACCTATGTGACCACACAGGGCAAGTTCCTTCACTTGCAGGCCCAACCTCCTCATCAAGATAAAACATCTCTCTACTTAGACTTAACTTTGGAGGCAGAGGTAGTCATCAAATAACTTCTGTGTAAGGGCTCACTGTGGCATCAGTTGCATTATAAAAAATACCAAGATTTGCTTGAAGATGGCAGTCACCAGCTTTCCTGGAGTTTCAGGTTCACACAAGTTAATTTCGACCTTATACATTTACTTCAGACTGCCCTGTTCCTGCCAGACTTCCGATTCACACCTTCTGGTCTGTTTGCCCTGTGTTCCTCATCCATTCCGTCTCTCAGCCCCACAACTCCCTTTTTGCTTCCCTCTGCTGACCTATTGCCTGTCCTTTAAAGGACATCTCAAGTCCTATCCCTTCTGACTTCTTCAGGTCTGGTGATTCTTGCCCACCCTTCACTGTTCAGAGGAGTTAACCTTGATGCGCACGTCCGACTTCTGGTGGTTGCTGCTGTAGATAGCTCTCATCTCCTTGAAACTGAGTTTCATGGAGATGGAACATGTTATGTGCCTAGTTTATGCTAGGCATGTGGTAAGCTTGCAGAAAACGTTCATGGGTTGGAGTGTGACTCTGAAATACACAGAATTGTAGTGCCATGTATTAATAAGAATTGTTATATAAGGCAGGGAAGATGAAAGGGAATGTTCGTCTGGCATGGAGTAACGTTGATAATAGAAGCAGCAGACATTGACGGCCCTCTCACATGCTTTCCTGTGTCTCAGCCCTGGGAGGTATGAGTGGCCTGCTGCTGCTTGTTTGGAAACAGTATGATAAAACAAACCAAAAGTGTATAGCCTACTATATACCTAAGCTATATGCTTTAGTCAACCTCAGTGGACCTGAGGTTCCACCTGGACCTCTTAATTCCTAGCCCCAGGTGTTTGGCACTAGTCCCTGATGCCTGGTTCATTCCTTGACTTATCCTGTGAGTAGAAACAAGGCTTAGGGCTGAATATATGGATCCTCTTGGAACAGTTGTTTGTCACATCTGTCACTCACTGCAATATAGTGCATCCCTTTAATCTAAAAGTGCAGTGAAGATGTCCATCTCACTCAAGTTCTTGTCTTCCTGTACTTTAGGAGAAAGGATCCTGGGTTATGCTGAGGAGCCCTGCTATCTCTGGTTTGTCATGGAGTTCTGTGAAGGTGGAGACCTGAATCAGTATGTCCTGTCCCGGAGGCCAGACCCAGCCACCAACAAAAGCTTCATGCTGCAGCTCACAAGCGCCATTGCCTTCCTGCACAAAAACCACATCGTGCACAGGGACCTAAAGCCAGACAACATCCTCATCACAGAGCGGTCTGGTACCCCCATCCTCAAGGTGGCTGACTTTGGACTAAGCAAGGTCTGTGCCGGGCTGGCACCCCGAGGCAAAGAAGGCAATCAAGACAACAAAAATGTGAATGTGAATAAGTACTGGCTATCCTCAGCCTGCGGCTCAGACTTCTACATGGCTCCTGAAGTCTGGGAGGGACACTACACAGCCAAGGCGGACATTTTCGCCTTGGGCATTATCATCTGGGCAATGATAGAAAGAATCACTTTTATTGACTCTGAGACCAAGAAGGAACTCCTGGGGACCTATATTAAACAGGGGACTGAGATCGTCCCTGTTGGCGAGGCGCTGCTAGAAAACCCAAAGATGGAGTTGCACATCCCCCAGAAACGCAGGACTTCCATGTCTGAGGGGATCAAGCAGCTCTTGAAAGACATGTTAGCTGCTAACCCACAGGACCGGCCTGATGCCTTTGAACTTGAAACCAGAATGGACCAGGTCACATGTGCTGCTTAAAATTCAGGGCTAAGCATCTTGGGTGTTTTTAAACTAGGTGAGTGCTCTCTTTCTGTTCTGCACACACACTTGCTAGACTGGGTTCCTCATCCTGGGCCCTGGGGTGGGCTCTGGAGTTGGGGGTCGACATGTAGGGTTGAAGAAAACTAGGTGTTCATCATCCAAGATTCCCCTGACCGCCAAGTCTTGGTAAGGAGATATGTGGGATTAGTCATTTGAGTACAAGTTGGAGGGGCTAGAGAATTCTTCTGAAAGGACATTGCATTTGAGCTGAATCTCTAAGTTTTTTAGACATGCCTTTTCTCACGTCATAAAAGTTTATTAGAGAAAATCTGTGAAATGGGGTACATTTTTCAGAGAATGAGCACTATCTCTCCTCAGTTCTACACAGTTTAGATCTCACTATATTAGGTGGAGTTTTGTTTCATGCTCTTTTTTACTCAGCGCTAAGCAGAACATTCCCCATGTGGTACTTAGAGAGTATGGCTTTTAGTGGTTGTGTGACACTGTTCTATGTACCATAATGTAGCCATTCTCTTTGAGACATCAAACCGTACTGTAAAGGATATATGGGTGAATCTTCTTATATGGAGGTCTTTGCTTATGTAACAGATTTATCATAGCTTTTATTTGTCAAGTACAGTCACACACCACATAACGTTGTAGATCAACAATGTTGCATGACAGTCCTCCCATAAAACTAGTAGAGCTGAAAAATTCCTGTTGTGCAGTGACATCATAGCCATTGTAACTTTGCTTCACGATGCATTACCTTTTCTGTGTTTAGACACAAAAATATCAGTGTGTTACCGTCGCCTATAGTACTCAGTAGAGTAACATGCTATACAGGCTAATTGCCGAGGAGCAGTGTGCTAGATCATATAACTTAGGTATATAGTAGGTTATACCCTCTTGGTTTGCAAAAGTACATTCTGTAATGTTTGCACAACTATAAAATTACCTAAAAGCATTGCTTAGAACATATCCTCCATCGTTGAGTGACAAGTGACTATACTGTGCTAGCTTCTGGTGTAATATAAGCAAAATCATTTTCATGAATTCTGCAGCTTAATTAGAGATGTGTTCAACAATAGTTATCATAGTTGTATTACAGTGGAGGAGAAGACGTTATTGAGGCAAATTAACCTTTCAGTTCTTGGTGCCCAGAGTCAAGAGTAGGGAACTGAGCCAGACAGGAGCATCCCAGGCAGAAGGCTTAGCGTCTGCAAAGGACCTGAGCCCAGAGGGAGCCTGGCACATTTGAGACTGGACCAGAGTGAGTTGGTAAGGAGTATATAGGTATATAGACATGTGGAGATCAGAGAGGGTAGGAACCTGCCAGGAAAGGGAACAGCATGGATGGAAGTTAAGGAAGAAAACCCAAAAGTGTGTACCAGGAACAGCTGGGTGGTTCATTTGAACTGGGGTCTGAGGTGTGAACAATGAAGGGAGATGAGAAATTGACCACATATGCTAGGTATTTACACATGTGCCATTTCATTTCACCTTTATAATGGAGATAATTTACCCCAGACCCTCCTACATGAGGTCAGGTGCATCTTACTCAGGCAGCCCCCCACACACACGCACTGTGTTTTCCCTTGATGTCAGAATGGCAGCTAGAAACAAACTACTGTTGTATTTTATGGGAGCTTTGAGGTGAGCTGATGGTCACAGGGAAGGAGCCTCAGAAACTATTGGTCACAGGCCTTCTGTTACCCGGGTGGGTTCTTCGTCCCTTTTCCCTTCATCTCCCTCATTTCTGGGGGTGGGGGGGAGTTGGCTCTTTCTGACTTAAGCCTGGCTTCACATGTCTCAGTTGAATGTATTTCTGGAGCGAGTCACCAGTTTAGTTCTTCATTGCACAAACATTGAGTGCCTTCCAGATGCCAGGTCAGTTTGTCCTGCCACCCAGTGGGGAAGAGAACAGCATCCCCCCAAAGCTCGGTTTGGGGTAATGCCATGTTAGAAACCAAAAGGGCTGGCTGGATAGTGTTTTAATTGTAGTTTATTCTGTCACTTCTCTTTTCCATCTCATCTTTTCTGCTTTTAAAAGACCTCTTAGAATTCAAGTTTGCTCTGGCGTAAGAAGATTGTCATTGGAAGAGGGACCTATATTTGGGTTGTCACAACTAATTGAGATCAAGGCTCCCATTTGGACATCCATACTTGGGATTTGTGCTGTTTGGCAAGGCAAAGTTTTAGGTAAATAGGAGTCCAGTGATTCCTTCATCTAGGAGAAGTAGGTAGCCTTGCAAAGAGGAGGAAAGATTAGGAATGGAGTTACTGGTAAGTGTCCAGGCTGCTTGGTTAATTCATTCTGTGCCTTGGACAGCTAATGAGTACAGTAGAGGTGGTGCCAGTTTGGCTATAGCCTATTCTGCCCTGTCCTAGGTGGGTACTTAGAATTGTGGGCCTGGGTCCAGATCTGTGACTAGAGCTAAACCTATGGTGCCAAAGCTTCACATCAGTTGTGTTGTAGATGAGCTGTATCTGGATGGTCAGAGCTCGAGTTGGGAAGAATGTTGAGTCCGACCTAATTCCATTTATTTATTCCCCATACTGGGAAACTAATTGGCAGGTACCATTATAGACACAGATGATACGTTAGTAAACAAAACAAGAAGTTTTTGGAATGTGGAGCTTAGCATTCCATTGGGAAGACAGACAGTAAACATGGGTAATATTAGGAAGTGCCAATTTGAGGGGCTGGAGGAGCAGAGCAGGATAAGGGTAAGTGAGATCTAAATGTTGGGAGGGTGGGGCATGGAGCGTGGTATTGTGCTGGATGGAAGGGATCAGGGTGGGTCTCCTGGAGATACTGACCTTAGAGCAAGGTTGGAAGTTGAGGTTATGAGTCCTGAGGATTTCTGGGGAAAGAGCATTCCAGACAGAGGTAACAGTGTAATAGCCTGAAAGCTGGACAGAGCGAGCAGGGAGAGAAGCATGTAGAGGCTTTGAGGGTAAGTAGGAGTCAAGTAGAGCAGGCCTCGTATTTTAAGTGAGATAGAAAGCCATTGGTGTGTGTTCAGTTGTGATATCTCTTCATTTTAAAGAATCACTTTGTCATCTTCCTAAAAATAAACGTAGGGGAGCAAGTTAGGAGATAAGATCAAAGACTACTGTAATAATCCAGGTGAAAGATGATGTTGGCTAGAAACAGTGGAACAAGGGAGGTGATGATTGGATTTGGGGTGTATCTTGAAGTCAAGCCATCTGATTTCCTTCTGAATTGTGTGTGAGATATGTGAGAAAGAAGTTAATGATTTCAGGGTTTCGGCCCAAGCAATTGGAAGTTGTCATCAAGTAAGATGGGGAAGACTTTAGGAGATACAGGCCTGGCTGGAGAAAATTGGGTTTTATTCATCTGAAAGCTTGGTGTGCCTAGTTAGAGTCCAAGTACAGATGTAGAGTAGACAGTTGGGGTTCAGAGGAAGGAGATTGCCAAGTACTAGAGTGGGTGCAGACAGGAGGTCAGAGGACTGAGCTCTGGGTTGTCCAACACTGAAGTTGAGAAGAAAGAAGCCAGGGATCAAGCAGCTGTGACATTCTGCCTGCAGTTTGAGCGAGATGAATTGACTGCTGGACTTAGTGAACAGTCATGAGTGTTCATGGGCAGTTTGGGTGGTGAACTGGGGTGGGGGTGGTGCCCTAACTGGAGTGGATTTGAGAGGCAAAGAGAAGATGAATTGGAGTAGTAGTTTTTGGTCTGAAAGCCTCTTTATACTCTTGAAATTATGGACTCAGAGCTTTTGGTTTGAATTGTATCTGGGTATCTGCAGTATTAAACATGAAAACAAATGTTTGAAATGTTCCTTTCAAATGAATGAATAAATAACAGTAAACCAGTTACATGTTACCATGAATATCGTATTTTATGTAATAACTAGTTTTTTAAAAAAGAATTGAGTGGCGTTTTATGTGTGCAGAGCTCTTTAATGTTTTAATAGCCAGCTGGAGTCTCATTTGCTTCTGCATTATCCGGTACCGTGTCACTCATCATGTAACTTCTGGAAAACTCCATTGTACACTCATGAGAGAATGAAAGTGAAAAAGATAAACGTCCTCTTGGCATTACGAAAGAGTTTGGCTTCAGACTCTCAAATCAGATAGATCACATTTTGTAGATGAGTCTTTGTGAGGAACTTTGCTGTGAAGAGGAGCTGAAGAAGGGGTGATAGCTAGAGACCCAGAATGAAGGAGATTGCTTACTCAGGGTCCCAAATAAAGGAAAAGACAGAATTTGTCCATCCCGATTCCTAGCCCACTTCCATGGCATAAGTTTAGCCGCAGATAGTAAATACACGGGAGCACAGTACCAGAAACACCTCAAAATCTAGGATTGTAGCTTTCAGAGTAGCATTTAAGTCAGGCCTAAGAGGTTTGCTTTGCAAAAATAAAAGGAAAAATACTTTGGGTTGGAAACTTGGGATTTCCCTGAAAAGATAGTTGCCTGGTGGCGTAGTGGGAGAGCAGGGATTGAGTCCCATGTCTGGTTTACTGGCTATGTGGCCTTAGGCAAATTATTTTACCTGTCTGGGCCCCAGTTTTATTATCCATAAAATGGAGTTCATACCTACCTTGTTGAGGTAGTTGGGGAAATCAAACAAGGTTGTGAAAGTGTGTTATACACATGGTCAAAATTACATGGTATACAGTAGAATTGCAGATTCACATTGACCTAAAGTGGAAGCATTGTCTTCTGTTTCCCTCCAAAGACAGTGGGTCTTTAGTAGCCTTGCTTCTAAATCAGCGCTGCAGTTAGGGCCACCCTTGTTCAGAAAAATACATCTGTTTTTAAAGGGTACTCAATGGTGGGTCTTATTTCCCCCTTATTTATCACTTTGGGAAAATATTTAATAATTTGTTAAGGTTCCTGCCAGCTAGCCCCAAGCTTTACCCCTGCAGGAAGCCAGCCAAACTGATGTCCTAGGTGCCACCGCCCCGTGTGTTACCAAGGAGAGTGTTGTGGGATGAGGGAATCTGCATTCAGGGCCAAGTCTACTGTCTGATACACAAACCTCTGTTACTAGGGCC